CTGGCAAATGTTGCTGGATCACAATTCAGTTCAATTCAATTCAATTTATACAGTGGCAAATCAAAACAACATCAGAAGAAGGCTTTTTTGCAGTGTGGTGAACCTCTGTTATCTTTACTTTTTAGATATTCCACCATTTTAAAAAAAAAAAAAAAAAAAAAAAAAACCAGTAATGTTACTGACCTGTTGCCAATTAACGTGCTTAGTTGAAAATGTTCCTCCAGGTGTTTGTTTTTAGTACTACTTACTTACTATTTTAATCTTTTTGTAGCTCCATTCCCAATTTGAGACATGTTGTTGCCATCAAAATCAAAATAATCTAATTCTTTTCTCTAAATAGTAAAATGTTTCACTTTAAACTTTTGATTTGTTTTCTGTTTTATTGTGAATAAAATATGGGTCTGTAATTTGCAAGCCATTGTATTCTGTTTTTATTTCCAACACAACACAACCATAGCATCCAAAAAAAAAATTTCATTTGCTTTTAGCATGAAATTTATCATTGCTGTTAATGGCCCCACCCCAGCCAAGCCACACTGTAAATAGTGCATGGCTATAATTAAATACAATTAACAGACATAGCACAATTGAAAATTTCAACTCCAAACGTGGCTTGAATATGAAACAGGGCTATGGTTTATAATGAGACAACAGGTTTTCTCTTGCCAGGGCCCCTCGTGTAGCTGCATGCAACATCCACACTTTAAATAAGAAAAATCAATCAAACACTTAAGCTTCATTTCACTGTTTGAGAGCATTGCTCCATCACAGGGTTCTTTTGTCTACATGCACAGTTCTGTAGATGGGGGAAGAAAAACAACAAAAAAAGACACACACACACACACACACACACACACAGACACACAACACATACACCCAGAGATAGAACACACACAGGATGCCAGATGAAATATCAAAAGGTCAGTAGACAGGCAAGAGGATATGGTGGTGCCACTGTAAGACAGGCTGGGTCCTAGCTCTCTGTCCCCGAGTGTTTGTCTGTTTGAAATCAAGGACAACACTGGAAATTGTAAACAAGCCTTAATGTCTATGCTTATCCATGCATATTTTAAATGCCAGATGCGCCTTCCAATTCCTTAGATTCTCAAATCCGTCTCAGTCACCATAAAGCTAAAAATCCAAATACGGAACTATGATTTGCAGAGATTACATAGAAAAATACTTAAACCTCTTAGAGAGTGTGCAAATTATCAGTTGAAATGCTATAACTATACATACATTTAACAAAATTATGACACAAACTAAGTGCCAGGTGGCGCTTAATCCATGAGTATATGGTGAATGTGCACTGAAACGTCCATTAATCCCCAGAGTTCGTGCATCGTGGTTTCATCTGATTTATTAACACAGTGGATGTACCCTGTAACAATAATCACTTCAGGTCATCAGTCAAAAAACAAGAAACGTTCAACTTTTTTAATGTCTGTCGACCATTTTAGTCTTTAATCAAGGCAAATAAAATGCAACATGCCACAACTGCACAACAGCGCCACACAATGGTCAGGAGAGGGAAAAGCATAATGGATAAGGATTAATTAAAAGAACAATACCTTAGATTGTAGCTTATCACTTGGCAGATGAGGGAGGAGGCAGTGTTTTCTCATATGTCTCCAAGTGATTAAAAATCTCAAAAATATTACAACAAATCTATCAGAGTAGAGTAAAACACCAGCTCGGGATTTATTTGATGAATGATCAGAATGGGGGATCTCTACCAAAAGAAATTGATTGTTACTGCGGAGGTCCAACACACAAAGTAACAAACATAGTTGCTAAAAAGAGAATTGAATTCTGCTAGTTTATTTAAGCATCAAACCAGAAGGACCACTTTATTATGAATGGGCAGCTGCATAATTACATACTGTATTCTGAAATTCAATGGAATGGGAGAGGGACAATGTCGGCCACTGCTACTGTAAAAAAATGAAAGCATTAAGAGTTGTGGTCCACTAAAAAGCAAGTTTTGTTTACGCACATAAGACTTATGTCTTTGCAGAAGGCATGGCTCCGTATCAGCAGTAAATAGCTGATAATTAAGGAAAAGAAAATTATTGCTAGGGAATGGAGGGTGTGCAATCAGAAGCATAGAGGGAGAACAAATACCATACATATCAATAAGGTGATAAACAAAGTAACTTTTAAGATTTTTTCAGTATATGTATCTTTATTAAACTTAATAACATGTAAGTATATTTTCTAGTCAAAACACTTTGCCATCCAAGTTTTTGATGGCTTGATAGTTTTTTTGGCCACAACTGTTTGCACATCTGTTACCTTTTGGGGCAGTTTTCTCTGCAGATGTTTTTCATTATGCAATGCAAATCTTTTTTTCCCAGAGAGTGCTAGTGTTTTATCCAAGATGGGGTAGCCTATATGTACTTGCAGTATTATTGTGTAAAACTGTAAATATGAGACCAATTACAAGCCAGGACAAAGTTTCAAACAAATATGGAAAACTGAGGAAACAGCTAGCCTACCTCTATCCAAATGACAGTAAGTTCTTGAAGTCTCTGCCAATTTCCTGGCAACCTCAAGGTGATGACAAGACTGAACCTGGCCAACAAAAAGAAACAATGCATTTGTTTTTTGTGGAAATCAAAGAAAGGAAAGACAACATATAATCTCTGTGGCACTGGTAGGTTGAATTCATTATTTTAGAATATAGCCAACCTCTCTGTTTCCTCCGGTTATATATTTTACTCCAAGATACTATAGTATTCCTCCTACCTAGACATCCAACTGTAATGAAGATATCAAATCCCCTCCACAGCCTGAAAAAAGCATCTTGAGTCTTTTAAATGAGAAATATTTTGACTTTACTGGGAGATAAACTTGTTTGGAAATACACAATGCAATGCAAATAAAATTTCTCCTGGCTTCATTCTTATGGTTGGAAACTATTACTATAGTTTCTCACAGATACCACCCACTCTGCTGTTTATATATGTATTTGGTGTGTACGTTTGTGGGTCTTTGCCTGCACGTATTCGTGTGTATCTCTGTGTATATGCATCTTTGTGTTTGTCAGCCTGTGCCCAACTAGAAAAAAAATTACGTTCCATAAAACGTCTCTATAAACGGCATGGCACAATAAATCCAAGGCAGAAATATTAAGTGGAACCAATATTTTGCTGGACTCACTCCAGATTTCTAGTAAAACTCACAACTTGTGATGATCTTAGCATTAAAAATATATATTTTACAGGGGGGAATAATCCAACTCCATTCCAGCCAAGGCATCATTGTCATGGAGCTATCTGCGTTGTGCACCTGTGCCTTTCTACTGAGAGGTCATTAGTTTACATTCTCTCTTTTAGGCACAGCTCTATTAAATACACCATGCATACCCAAGCAAAAAAGGATTTTTGCAATGTCACGAAGAAAGAAAATGACTGGGGGGGAAAGTGCTGCAAACTGTTGCTGTGTTCTAAGAAGGAAGCCTCCCATATGTGCAGAGAAACGAAGCAGTGAAGCTACAAAGGAAACATGCTCAAGGACACCTGTTCGTTGCAGGGAGCAGTTTGTGAGAAGCATCTTGTCTGTGCAACACTGCACCAGTCATGTGTGAATGAAAAAAGAAAAGGAACAGGATCCACTCCCTTATCGCCACATGGAACCACAATGTACTTTTGAACGTGATGACATATTAAAAATTTGATGAAGTCCTAGGATGACACAGCGTGACTGTGTACTTAGGAAAGTATAATGCAGACTTTGAAGCATTTCTTTATGACATTATTTTTAAGCCAAACTAGATCACTTATTGATCAAAGAAAACAGCAAAAGATAATTAATACTTTAATTAGGATTACAGCATCAGCATAATGTCTGTGATGCTGGTACTAGAAACCACAGAAGACTTCAAAACAAATTCCTCTGCATGAAAGACCCAAGTACCCTGAATCAACTCGGCATTTCCCATGACAGTTATACCAAAGAATGTGAAGCCATACGAGTATACTGAACATAGCAGCCTATATATACCAGTATAGACTGAAGAAGTCACTTGGATGAGCGACAAAATGTTTCTCCCACTGAAAACGCTGCGTCCAGATGAACAGAATCAACTTTTGGGGCATACTACTGTAGGTGGAAGTGATAGGGTTGAGTTGCTTGTTTACTGTAAGGCAGGTGTGTGAAAACAGTATCGACACTATGATTATGATGACTAAACTAACGTTATATGTTAGAGGTTACATTAGCTAGCTATAAAAACAAAATAAAAAGATTGAGGGCAACATCATTGCATACAGCTAATGTGGCTTAAAAATGCTCTGTAGACACTGCAGCTATTATCACTTTTTTAAATCAGCGTCACACAGTCACAGCTGATGATTTTAATTATTTTTTTAAATATAGTTGCTCTGGTTGTATTTCCGTTCAGACCTTGTGTCTGAACTCTAAAAACAATTACCAGACCTCTGTGACCACAGAGCTATATATCAGCATCTGCACAGAGCCTCTGTCTGTTCGCCACAGCTATCTGCCAAAAACTGCATTTTCAGGAAGCTGACATTTTCAATTGGCTTTTAAAATATTAGTTTCATTTTAGGTTGATTCTGGTTGTGTTATGTGTGGCTATGCATTGTGTAGAAATATAAATTTTGATAAAGAGGACAAGGGAGGGGGAAAAAAGTCAGCTTGGTCCTCCCTTCCTATTTTTGTCTCTCAGCGAGATGAGGTCATCAAACACCAACCTGCTTTGTATATTAATGATGCAACAGCCAGGGTTCTTTGGACACCCTGTCCCTGGAGACTGCTTGTCTGGCAGCAGAGGAAGACTTCATCTTGATTTAAGAGAGATAACACCCTCGACAGAACTGTGACAAAGGCTAGATAGGCAGTGTGAGAGGAGATAGTGAGGGAGTGTCGACACCAGTAGAGAGGAGAAGACAGGACAGGAGGGAGGCAGAGGAGGGACTGCGTGATACACTGTGCCTTTAAAGCACCAAGCCCCTCCTCCACAGAGCCAAGCAGAAGAGCCGAGTGGTGCTGGCAGGAGCCTGAGCCCAACGATAAACTCTGGCATCAGCTTCCCTTCATCCGGCAGTGAGCGAGGACACAGTGAGGGCGTAGGGGCAGAGGGACAGGGATGGAGAAAGAGTGACAGAAAGAGAGGGAAGTGTGAGAGAGAGGCAGAGAGAGACAAACCAGGCCGATAGACAAAGAGGGAGAGGCTGTCATAAGAATCACACAGCTCCTTTTTCACAGTAGCAGCTCAGTTGATCTGTCTGCTGCCTCCCGATGCAGGCGAATGCTGAAGGGGATGACGGGTGGTGTGTTACGGCAGCATAGCTATCTGAGTGATGGTAGCCGCCGCAGCAGCATCACAATCCGAAGCAGGGGCTCTTCTTGCCACTCTGGCTCTTAGTCATCTTCGGCGTCCGCTCTCCCTTCTCAGAGTGCTATCAGGGCCATTCATCGTTCCCATCTCATGCCTCCTGCCTCCTCCTCCTCCACAGCTTCATCCTCCACTTCTACTCCTCCTCTGATGAGCCACAGCCTCAGAGTGAAATAACCCTGCTAATAGAAGCTTCTCCCTCTGTCAAGACAGTAAGTATGGGAGGAGGGGGGAGAACTCTGTGTGTGTGTAAGGGAGAGAGGGAGTGTGTCTGCGTGTGTAAGACAGAGAGGAAAAAGAGGGAGTGAGAACGGCAAGAAGGAGAGAAGATGTTGGTGTGTGCGACACAGGGACTTCTAAAGAACCAGCAGGTTGTGTGTAGCTTCAGTGATTCTGCTGTGCCTGGACAGTAAGCTCTGGGCATAGCAACAGCAAAGTGATGCACAGAAAAGGTGAGTAGGTGTGCGTCCCAGCGGATGTGTGTGAGCGTGTGTGAGCGTGTGTGAGCATGTGGAGGTGAGGCAAGTGCTGCTGAAGTACGAGATGCATTTTAACAGAAGCAAGAAATAATCAACGCAGTTAATCCCTGACCATATCTGAGTCTTATTCACCCGACTGATGCTGCTTTTCATGCTGCTATGATTTAGAGCAAGCTTTAAAAAAGAAAAGAAGACGAGACATGAACGAATAAGTGATTGCTTTCCTTCCTGTATGACCAGGTGCCATGTGTGATTGGCCAGCATACCCTGTGGCAGTGGCATCGCCCTGGATTTGGCGAGAAGCTCTCCCCCCTGCTTGTTCTCTGGGGCTCCTTTGGGAAGCTTTCATGGGATTTATCTTGTCCTGCTGGATGGCACGGAGCTCTCTGCCTCTCTGAAAAGAGTCCACAGAGAAAACATACATTACACGGATAAGAAGTAAAATAATTATCCAATCACAGCACAAGCAGGCAGACCGGGTTCCCTTAGCAACAACTGAAGGAGACGAGAGAATCCTTTTCTCTTTCTGCTCCTTTGGTTTTTGGGCACACCCCTGTGGACAGCTGTGGGTCAGTCTTTTGAGAAAGGACTTCAAAAACATTTTTACATAAGACAAGCTATCACCGAAATTCCAGAGGAAGGTGCTCATTTGCCTTCAAGTCAGCTTGTTACTGTGTCTCATTGGCACAATGAGTTTTTTGTTATGCCTCCACAAATTCGCATCGCAAGTCACACTGCACTGGCTTAGAAATCACTTCATTTTGATCCCACGCCACCTGGAATGAGCCCTGCATTTTGGGGGAGATTTGACACTGTGTGAAAAGACCCACTTTTACATTTCTCCCTGTCATGGACAAGAAATGAAGGACAACATGATTAGGTCATCAACTGCAAAGAAAATGGATGAGAAGCAGAGTTTATTTTGATGTGAGTTTCTACTGAGAGTCTTTTTTTTTCCCTCAGAGGAGGTTACACCACACTTGACAGAGGAATAATCTCTTTTTTAAACAGGAGCTGTCCTTTCTGTCTTTTAAACAGTAGCCCTCACTAATGGACTATTTTTAGAAGGCAAATCTTGGCCCGCTACCAATAAAATAGAACACGATCATTTTGAGAATCGAGCCACTGCTGGGAGTTTTCTTTTTCTATTTCAAAAAGGTTATCATGAACCCTTTTCCTGTTTTCACTTTTGTATGTTAGCCTGCCATTATGCCACTGTGTTTTACATGTAAAAAAGAGTGTTCAGGACAAATGGAAGAAAGAAAAAGTCTTTTCCCTGTATAGACAGGCATTTTAAATAGCATCTCCTTGAGAACAATTTCAAATATATACACTGACACATGAGATGAGTTGGCTCAACATGATTATGTAAGAGTTTCATACCAGCTTTAGCCCATGAATTTTCCCTCTTCTTTTTCGATGGATTTACAGCATTTGACTTTTCCCATGCTCCTTTTCTCTTCATTTTTGGAAGTGTCTTCAAGAAGGCATGGATGCCAGAGTGTGACCCTGTGCCGAGAGTGCTGGCGAGGCAAGGTGTTTTGGCTGCCGAGGTGCTTTTAAGATGTTGAGGTCTCCCTGCGTGGCCGGGGCCCCTGTTCGGATCAGTAGCACTGAGGCTCCTTGTAGCCAAAGACATGGACCCCGACTCGGCTCCCCCACGCCCTCAGCCTGTTGGCCACTGGCTCCACGTCACCCTGTAAAGGATGTCCCTCAGCAGAGCTCCGGCCCGGGACACCTCTGAGACCCCCAGCCCGAGAGAACGCATCCGCAGCCACATGAAGATGGTGATTGATCAGCTGGAAGGAATTCTCAAAGAGCTCAAGGATGTGGCCAAGGAACTCCGGGAGGTGAGCATCAAAATAAGTTTATAAATATCAGGCTTTTTCATTTAGAGAGGACTATAGTAAGGAAGACAAGCAGGCAGGGAGATAATGGGTGCCAGGTGGGCGTGCTTCTCTTGTAAGCTGCATTAAATTAAGTGTAAAATTCTTTTTCTAGCATAGAGATATTGATTAAGATTTGACAGTGATGAGATCTAACTTTTCTGTGTGTTTGTAACAAAAGAATGTTGTTTATTACAACCACACCAAGGCTTTTCTGCTCTTACAATAAGCCCACAAGAACACAGTTGCTTATGGGCAATTACAAATGTCCTTCACGTGTTCACTGGCGTCTTGTGGGAGGTACAGTAGATGTGAAAAGCTGCTGAAAAGCAGCAAAGCCAGGCTGAAAGGAGATACCGACACAGGCTTAGATAAGATACATGACTTAGCGCTGCAATAGTTACATAACCATTTTGTTAAGAATCAGCTGGATTCTTACTGTATTTTTGAAACTGCCATGGTAACACTGTAATATGTGCATTTTAGTGTGTGTGCGTGTGTGTATACGCCACAAGGTCTGAACAAGGATCTTCAAAGAGACACTGTGAGTGTTGTTATATGCACGTACAACCACGTAGACTTTAAAAAAATCTGCGTGATGTTTGATAATCAGTAGTACATCTGTTTATGTGGGAAATCTCTGTAGGATCCTGCAGTGTCCTCAAAGATGCGAGCTCTTCTTGGAAAGCTCTTCTGCAGAAAGAGATGAAGGCAGATATAGACAGAGACAAATGAAACCTGAGTAAACAGTTTTGTCCGACCCATTCCATATCCTCCAAGCTCATGACATGATTAGCCTCCCACCTGCTTCTGGGATCGACACGTGTGTCTAAATGTGTTAAAAAGGCAAAATGGTGGATGTTGGTGCATATAATCACCCGAAGAAGGAGGGGGTGTGGGTGGCTATCATAACTTAGTTCATCACCCCACAGGAACCTTTCCCCCCCACATTCTCCCTGACTCCCAGCTCTGTCCTACTCACTACGCTCTACTTTATGTACTTGCACAGTTGGAGGTCCAAGGGCACCGCTTGCAGTGCACCTTCTCTCTGGTGAACAACAGAAGTCGGCCCATGAGCAGAAGTGATTGATGGTTATGGGACAACTGCAAGTGGAATAATGCTGGCTGGAGCTATTTATAAACAAAAACACAGGCTGTGCCTCTGCCAGCTCCAGTGCATATTACCATTCTTATCCCAGACCCCATTAGAGAAGGCTCTGCAAAGTGGCTCAAATGTCATTTTTTATTGGAAGAGCACATTCCCACATATTAAAATGGTTAAGGAATCATATTAACTGAAGTAGCAACTGTGATACCGGTATAAATATCCTACAATTAACTGACCTTTGGGGTGGGAGTCTGTATCAAAGGGAAATGGAGAAATAGAATCAGTGTTGTGCTATCAGATGCATGGAAGCCTAATGTTCCATAAAATCTCTCATTCTTGGCCACATGAAAGGAACACTATAATAGACAACAACTGTCATATAAATAAATGATGAATTGCAGTGTGAATGTAGTGAAATAAATAACTCAGTGGAGGAGCAGTAATGACTGATTATCACCCACAAGGTCTTTGGGGAGCTGAAGAAAGAGCTCTGAGGAGTTAAAGCTGACATTCTAAAGGAAAAAGCTGCCCAGATATTGGGAACCTACGAGTGTGTTACTAAACTTACTTCACGGTACCGCTTTCAAAGCTCAAGATCACATATGTACCATGTCACTGTGCCAGCTGGTCAAAAGCTGAAACCAAGAAGCGATTAAAACATCTAATTTTAACACATTATTAGTCACGTTGCCAAAAAAAAAAAAAAATCTACCTACATTTAATTTTCTTTTCCTCCATATTGCCTGCAGTGTTCATTTAGATAATTTAGTCAATGACGTTAAATGTCACATGAATTAAAACACTTACTTTTGGGAGGTTTTCTAATTATACTGTCTGGATTTTAGAGCATTATGTACCTACAGTTAAATAATGTATCCTCTGCGTTTTTAGTCGATTAAAGTACAAAAGGAGAACACTTTCAATACTCTATATAAAATAAGATTTAAAAAGCACCGAGGAAAATCCAAGAAAAATTCTAAGGGGAATCTCTTCGAGAACAATATAGGTTTTCTTTTAAAAATAAGTATCACTGCAGAATTGTAGCCTTCCACCAAGAGACGTCATCACCATCTAGGTTCTCAACTCAATATAACACTAGATAATTGGCACGAATAAACATCCATTAAATTGCTGTTTAAACACTAAACCCAGTCAATGTGCTGTTATACACGAGGAAAATAAGGCACAGTTTAAAAATGACTCAGTGCTTTTCTCCACCTTCACTCAGTCTTCCCACGAGTGACTACCATTTCTCATAAAGACAGAAAAAGACTTAACATGGGGTCACTTTTGGGTCTTACTGGTTTTGACTTTCAGACCTCACCATCCCCATCAATAAGCATTCTTTCAACAGAGGATGTGCTCAACATCTTAAATGACAGCAAATATAGGTTCACAATTGTTGATACAGTTTGAGCACCCATACAGCCTAAACGAACTCACCAAGTTTAATGTAAATCTGTATTATGCAAATTTACAGTATAGTGAGTGCATGCCATTCAGTTTTTGTTTTTTTTTTGTTATGAAAACAAAATATTTCTGGAAACAAATTTCACAAAGATGGAGCTATTTCAGGAAACTTTCAGGAAAGACTCAATGATTGCTAAATTAAAAAGCAATCTCAAGCAAATTTTCATATAAAGGCATGCTTCTACAAAATCTTCACACAATATACAGAATTCTTCTCCACGCTAGTCATTTGGCTCAAACATTAACACTACAATCAGCTTTAAGTCATACAAATTAAATAACATGGCAGCCAGTGAAAAAGCACCAGCTGCACACAGAACAATACATATAGTTCCTCAGATCTTGTGTTAAACATTTTAGCAAACCATGCCATATGGTTATATACTCACATAAATATAACCGATTATGATAATACTACTAAAACTACCCATAAGCACATTCCAATATAACCGTGAACTTATCCAGTATAAATTCTGAATAATCCTAGTGTACATAAAAATGTGATTATGGTACAAGTCTTGAAATTGGAAGTGTGTAAAATATCAAGGTTTTCCTTTCCATGCTGCAGCAATGTCTCAAGCAGCAAATCTTCCTCACATGTTGAAGAAAAATGTAACACGGAGCACGAGTAGTTTTTCAAGATTGCTCCCTTCAAAAGCCTATTACTGTCAACTGCAGCCTGTCTTACTTGTGAATCCCATTAAGGCTCCATGACAGGTAAAATGAAAAGGACCTAAAGGAAGGACATTGGAAGGTAATATACTGATAAACTACTCCATTTGTAGTAATAATACTGGCAGGAGTGGCGAGACTAGAGGAAATAATTCATTTGGATATCATGTCAACCTTGGACTTTTTGCGAAAATGGCAGCAAACAGAATGCAAAGTAACCTCTGAAAGTTATTGAGTTCTAACTTTTGCTCAAATAAAAATTTAAAAAGAAAAAAAAAAGGCAAATATAGAAATGCAAATGTTAGAGTGCACCCGTGAGGGTTATTGGAAAAATTGGGAAATTGGAGATTAAAATTAAAAGAATTTAATGAAGTGCTACAGAAATAAAAATGAGGCACAGGAAAAGTGTATTGTATTTGTTTTAAATGCACTTATGTTGGTACATGTATTTTGACTTTTGTTGCCATGACGTCTGCCATGAGTCACTCTTGGGAATTCGATTTTTGGATAAATAAAGGACTAATAAAAAAGCACCAGTGGCATCAACTAACGTAAAAGGTTTTGGCAAATTATATTGAAGCTCAAGATATTTAAACACAGGAAGCTAATCAGGAAGAGAGCAGAGAATATAAGCTAGAAAAACAGGCAATTATCAGAAGGATAACACATCCAGAGAACTGGCCTCGATCAGTCAGCCTTTTCAGAATCAGAATCAGAAGACTTTATTTATCCCCAAGGGACAATTAACAAACAACAGAGCAGCATAGCGTTGAAGATAAGGACTATAAGAACAGGCAATAAGAGTGATGGTAGCTTTTGGTAGCTTTATGCATATGTTCATGTAATGCTTAAGAGCGACTAACTACCCTGAAGGAGGAGGACAGAGGCAGCAACAAAAGGCAAGCGTCAGGTGAAATCTGTGTACTCCAAATGTCAGCTTTTTTTCCCCCCCAGTGATGATGTATTAAGTAACAGTTCCATTAATGGGACTGGTCAATAAGCCGTTTCAGAATCATATAATAGAGATTTCAGTGTGTCATTAAAGGCTCCAAGTGACCAAAAACAAACAAAAACAACAACAAAAAGCAGTCATCACCGTTTTTCCTTGTGATTAGCACCAGCATCTTTTACTTTTTAATTTTTGCTGGTTTTTTAACAAGAGAACTTGTGCTCAACAAGCTAAGTTCGCCTCTAAATGGCAGATGCATGCGGCACAAATGGGTGGTCTATTTAATTTCTATTCATCACCCAATACCATCTGCATGATCCCTCTGGCCTGGCTGTCAAATCAAGACATCTGTGCTAAAATGGAGTCTGTCAAAGAAAACTGCCATGTAAATTATCTGATCGGGAAGGCTACTATATTGTTTTCATGTGCGAGGCATACGTAAATGCCATGTTATTAAAGCCTGGTGTGGATAGTGAGGTAACCAAGCACCTGGCCTCAGCCTCAGAGCCATCTGCCAAGCCAACAAGCCAGTTGTGTCTCCTGATCAAGTCTGAAACCAGTTATGACACATGTCGAAGTGGGGGTGGGGGCACAGTGCCCCTCTGCTGAAGCTACCATGCTCAGCGCTGAATGAAATCTGTTCCAAACCCAGAGGCAGCCCAAGGGAGACTCAAACCAAAATCAAAGGGCCTTTTTTTTCTCTTTTTTTAGAAGAAGAAGAAGCCATATCCTCTTCTCACTCTGTTCCCTCCCCTGCTGCTGCTG